CACCGGCTCCGTCCCTTCCAAGGCCGTTCCACCCACTTCCTCGCCAGGCCCAGCTCACGCCCAGGTCCTGTCTTCACCTGGGCCCCGCCCCCACTCGGGTCCCGCCCCCATCCAGGCCCCGCCCCTGGAGCACCGCCCCATCTTCTCCCAGGGCGCCCTGCCCTCAGCTAGGCCCCGCCCCCGTCTATGCACCAACCCCTGGGGCCCGGGCCCCGCCCTCACCCAGGCGCCGCCCCTTGCGCTCCGCCCCCTTGCGGAAGGCCTTGAGCAGCAGACTCAGGTGGCTGAGAACGATAAAGGGCGGCGCCAGCGCGGGGCGCTCGTGGTACTCCACGATCAGGCTGTAGCGCTGCGACTTCCAGAACGTGTCGGCGTTGCCCTGCACCACCTGGAACGTGTAGCTGCGAGGGCGTGAGCGGGCGGCTGGGGGGGCGCCCCCTGCTGCAGCCCGCTGGCAGTCCTTTGGGGAATGGAGATCTCCATTGTCTCAGAACCACCCATCTCTCCCTGTGGGGGGTGTCTGAAGTGGGGTTCACTCGTCCTGAGCCCCTACTGTTCTGTCCTGGGCCACCTGAGTCCCCGGCACGCCACCGAACCCTGCGCCCGCCTCGTCAGCACCACCTCATATATGCCCTCGGGCACCCGGCGGGGCGAGTTTGCCCCTTCAGCTGCCTGGACCAGGCCCGAAGGCTAGGGGACGCAGGCCTGCTCTCCTCTGGGCGGAGCCAGAGCAGGGCGGAGCCGGCGCGGGGCGGAGCCGGCGCGGGGCGGAGCCGGCGCGGGGCGGAGCCAGAGCAGTCGGGAGTCCGCAGAAGCTGGGTGGGGTGGGGTCCCTGGGCAAGGAGGGGCCTCCAGGACAACTGTAGGTGGGCGGTGCACAGGGAGGGCGGCTGGGGGCTGCTGGGTGGGAGGGGTCCCTGGGCGGTGAGGGCCCCAGGACAACTGCACTGGGCGGTGCAGAAGGAGGGTGAGTAGCGCGGGGAGCAGGGGCCAGGGGCCGGGAGCTGGGGGCTGGCACCTGAACATGGCGATGAGCAGGTTCATAAGCAGCACGTTGGTGACCAGCAGGAAGGTGACCAGCAGCAGGATGACCAGCCAGTTGGCGTAGAGGTTGGGGCAGGAGGGCGAGTCCCCTAGCATCAGGGGGTGGGTGGAGCAGTTCACTCGGGCTTCTGAAACACAGAGGCACGATGGGGCCGGGGCTCGGCGAACAGCGACCGGGGCGCTCCGGGGCAGCCTGGGCAACACCCCTCGACCAGAGGGCTGCATCCTGGCGTTGAGATCCCGATGTGGAGGGCGGGTGGAGGTGCTGTTTGGGGTGACCATCTGTCCTGCTCTGCTGGGGCTGTCCTGATTCTTCCCCATTGTGGGAAAGCCAGCTCCCCACCTCTGCTCGCCTCAGTCCCAGCCTACAGGCCACGGAGGCAGAGCTAAGGCCATTTGGGGGGCAGTGGAGGAGGGGTTGCGTGGATTGGCACACAGCCAGTCTCGTAGGTTTGGGGAGAGGCCTCTTTACTGCAGGACTTCTCCAGGCCTGTAGGGTGCTGGTGCCTGTCACGGGCTCCGCGGTGGGGAGCAGTTTGCAGCGGTACCAAAGCATAGCAGGTCACTGCAGGTGTGTGTGTGTGTGTGTGTGTGTGTGTGCGTGTGCGTGTGCGTGTGCGTGTGCGTGTGCGTGTGCGTGTGCACGTGCGTGTGCACGTGCGTGTGCATGCACGTTGGTGTGCATTTCTGTGAATGCCCCTCCTGGTCTCCGTGCTGTGACTGTGACCCAGCTCACCCTGGGGTGGGGTTCTGGGGCCTGTATCTAGTGGTCTCCCTCTGTGCACCCCCTGGCCTCTGCCTCCGTGCGGGGGTGCAGTTAGGCGCACCTGGAGAGGCCTGTTTCCCCATGTCCCTGCCTCCTTTCTCCTGAGTAATGGTGGTGGCCAGCCACATGTGAGTTGTTGAGTGTGCATGTGGGGGTGCTCGCCACGGTCCTATCGCGTGCCCTCCCCTTCTGCATCCATCAGCTGTCCCAGGCTGAAGCATGGCCCTGCACGTTCAGTCCCTGCGCCCGAGAGGTGGCCAGGCAGGGCCTGGAGAGCCGAATCTGTGAAGCCTTAAATCTGTCTAGTAGAAGCATCCCTATGGTATCGAGGCCCCAATCCCTCCCTCCCTCGTGATTCCAGAAGGCACCACCAGGCCAGGGGCTAGGGGATTGGAATTAGGCTGTCTCTGGGGACCCAGGAACATGGGGCTCTCTTCATAGCATCCCAGCCCTGGGGCTCCAGCGGCCACTGGGCCGGGGGGCCAGCAGGCTGTGGGGGAGCTGCTCAAGCCTGAGAGCCTGGCTTCTGGGCCTGTTTCCCTCTCCGGTTCGGGTATGTTGTGAATTACTCTCCACCCAGCAGCGGGCTGGCCTCACCTGGAGCTGGACATGTGTGTATGTGTGTGGGGGGGGACGGGGGTTAAACCGGGAGGGCCCTGAAGGCCAAGTGAAGCCTCTGAGCAGATGGGGTAACTGAGGCCCAGAGAGGAAAAGAGGAGGCACGGTGAATCTGACATGCTGACCTCTGGCCCTGCCACGGACCTTCTTCCCCACGACTCATGCTGAGACCACATGGTGCTTTAGAAACCTTTCTGAGGAGGCCCAAGTGGCTTGGGGACCCTCTGGGAAGTCCACACTCCCACCGCTGTCCCAGGATGGTGCCCCGACTCCTGGCAGGAAGGGCTGGGACTAGGCCTGTCCCCCGAACCACAGGGAGGTGTATGCAGGACCGACCGGGCCTGAGTAGGGGCCACTCCATGGAATGTGCTTCCCGACCTGGCTGGAAGGGCTACCTTGCCAGCTCCTGCCCCAAGGGGCCTGCTGGGTGGGGCAGCATGGGGGTCCCAAGTGTATGGTGGGGCTGGGGGAGGAGGCAGCGTAGGGTGAGCTGAGCCAGGAAGGCCATGCTTGTGCTAAGCAAACACAGAGAGCCGGGGCTGCGGCGGAGGAAATGGTGCAGACCCTACTAGGGCAGTCTCCATGACAGCGCAGCTCACTCCTGGCCTGCGCACGCCCTAGTGCCCTCGACAAGTATCTCTCAAGGGCCTGGGGTGCTGGCCTCACCTCATCAGCTGCCCCTCCACCCGGCCCCTGCATGGGCTCTGCCCAGGGGCACCACCCCTCCACCCCCACCTAGGCCCCAGGCCTGCAGAACCCCCAGGAGTCCTCATCCTCCCCAAACCCAGCCACTCGCAGGGTCCTGCCCAGGTGCCCATTCCCCACCCTCCCTCGCCCCCACATTGTACTCTCTGGTCCAGGGAAAGTTCTCGGAGGCTCCATGCTGCTGGAGCCCAGGCCAAGGGCCCAGCCGGCCCAAAGACCCGACACACACACCTGGCCACGGCGCGTGGATATGTTGAGGTGGGCTTCAGAAGCCAGGGCACCACTGGGGACAACTTGATGGGGGGGCCTTCCCAGCAGGCAGGTGCCCGGGGCCTTGGTGCGTGAGTGATGAGGGGGCCCTGCCCTCAAGAGGGCCATGGGGGAGGGGCAGAGGCCAGCGGAGGGTGTGGCCAGGCCAGGCCCGGACCCCCGGGGACAGTCAAGATGGCCTGGGGTAGCTCCTGCTCTGCGCCCACCGCGCCTGCCCATCCTCGGCCCAGCACACCCCATCCCCAAGCAGGGCTGGGCCCCTAGTCGCTCCCAACAGGTCAGCCCCTCGGCCCCGTGGCCAGGTCAGGGGCTCCGTGACCATCAGAACCAGCCTGAGGTGGCACTGTCCTGGTCCCTCAGGCCAGCGTGTGCGGGGCACAGGGGTCTGAGTCTCACAAGTCCCCAGAAATCCCCCTCGAGGGCCTTGTATTCGCGAGGCTCGTAAAAGGACTCTCCATGAACCGGACTCCGTTAGACTGCACCCGGGGTGCAGCTTCCAGCTTAGAGCGCGTACAGGGCTCTCCGGTGATCCCCGCCACCCTCGCTGCCGCCTCCT